AAGCATTCATAAAAAGTTTGGTGCAAAATATGAGGACAGGTCAACCCAACTAAAAACACAGGCGTTGCTTATATTACACAACGCTCCAAGGGAAGACTGATTACAGAGAGCAAGAAAAGGGATAGAAATCCAAATTAAATGTCCAAAACAAGATCAAATGCATTTCAGCTTGAGCAGCTCACCAGAAAACACAGGAAGAAGGCAGATGAAAGACCAACTCTTTGAAACAAGACAAAATGAGGGGGTTAACAAAATGAAAGGGAGAAAGGAACATTGCCACCAACACTTGTAATGCAGGGATACATTTGCACGGTCCCTTTGAACAGCACAATTCTACAGGTTGCTGCAGACACAAGCAGGAGTTTCACACCTTAGGAAAACCAGAAAGCTGCACAGATTCCTCTCTCACTGAATAAACAAAGCTGTGACCAAAGGGTTTTGATGTTTTATTTTCTGATTTCAGATAGGCAGAAGAAGACTCCTGTATTATTGTTTTCCCACTTTGGTAGAAATGTTTCCTCTTTTCCAGTAAATAATCCAAAATACACAGTCAAGGCAGAGGCCATGCAGATCCCAGCCCATTGCACAGCAGTAGTACACCCACTGGAAAGGAACGATCAGCTTCACCAGCAAAAAAGTAGGTACCAACTTCCTAGCAAGTGTCACTTTTGCTTTTTTGGCTTTTTTTGAACAACGTTTTCTTACGAAAGAACTGACTTTTCTGTGTTTTCTCAAGCACAGCCTCATGGCACGTAAAATTTTCTTCTGTGGACAAGTCTGGCTTTGGAACTGAGCTGCTTCCAGGTGCATCACAGAACAGACGAATGTGAATTTGCCGCTTGCGTCCTTTAATGAAGGTCAAAGCAGCACACGTACTTCAAAAACAAAGTTATAAAAATGTTAAGGAAAATCTACATGTACTTGAGCCATTTGCTGAGTTCTGTAATATTCCTTAAAAAATAAAAAAAATAAAAAAAAAATCTAATTTTCCAGTACGACACATGCTGTACTTTATGTTCAAACTCAGCCACAATTTAAAGAGACCGACGGTCTTGGAAGAAGGGAGGAACTACAGCTTAAAAAAATAACCAGGATTTTCGTAGATTGTCTTGTTGGCTTTCAGTACAAGTCGTGATGACAGATTATTCACAAGCAAGCTCCCTAAGAGCCTGGCCCAAAAAAGACACCAAACTTAACCAGGAAATCTGCAGTGACTTACGTAAAATTTGGATCAGACTGTGGATCTGAATGCGCTTCTCTTTCACAAGTAAAGAATTACCCAATTATTATACCTGATAACAACACTGGAGTAGGAATAAAGGAGACAGTAAACAGAAGCCAACAGCCATCTCTTATATTATCATTATCTTCTCCGCATTAAATACCGTTCACTCTTATTTAACCTTCCCTAACTTTGTGGTTTATATATCAAGTACTCAGCTTCCAAGAAATAACAATAATAATAAACGCAACCACAAACTTTCTAGTATCCCATTCCCTTTTCTCCAATGCTTAGCAAAAAAAGGCAAACAGCATTATTTCTGCACTGAACTGTTGAGTTTTAATGTAGTCCCAACACCTTCCCCGTAAAGCAGGAACCAACCAGACTTGGAAGCCAAGTGGCGCAGAGAGAAGCACAAGAGTAGAAAGTAATTAAGGTCCCGCTCTTCCCCTCCCTACGCAAGGCACCGAAAATGAAATCAACATCCAAACTAATTAGTTTCCAGCAGAATATCAGTTTACTCGCTAACAGGAGGGTTGTCACTGCTCTTACCAAAAACTTCTAAACATACCGTACAAAATCTTGCTTAAGCCACGGGACCAAGCCAGGCACATCCCAATGTGACCATATACGGTAACCAAAGTGAATCGGATGGCAACTTGACAGATTTGGAACAAATATTGCGTCGTGTGTCACTGAGTTAACACCAGCGGGAAAATATCAGATTGTATTACCTGTATCCGACCGGAGGTGTGGAGTGGTTGGAGCCACATTGCTGCAGGACATAGTCACCAAGGGTTAGTGACCCAAGATGGCATTCATCCCCGAGGAGGAGGGTTTTTATGCCCAGTATAGGGCTGTGCAGAGGGCAGGGAATGGAGCGACATGAGGGACGAGCCACTGGCCCTGCATCATTCTCCCAGGTTAAGGGCTGACGTAGCTGGGGCTGCTGGCAGAAAGGCTGGAGCTGTCACCCTGTGCCTCGGCTGCCAGCCAGGAGGGATATTCCCCCACTGAGAGCAGGTTATGTGCTCAAAGGGTGGGTTTTGTGCACACAGAAGTTCCTGTGTTCACCCAGTAGGGAACGGAGGAGTGTAGAGGTTCACCCAAACAGCTCCCAAGGAGCAACCACTGAGTACAGGCTCCTTCCAGAGGGTCCTCAGACTGGATTAAGATTGGTCTCTGGGGCATTTATTCCAGATTAACTATTTTGAAAGGGTTATTCCAGTATAGACAAGCCCTTAGCCAAAGTCTTTAAATTTCAGTACTGGAAAATATGGGTTCAGACCTTGACAGAACTACCTCATCCTTCATCCTTTCAGACAGAATAAGTTCCACACCCGATCCTCTAAAATGAAGTCCTGCTCTTGATACTTATCTTGCTGCTTTCTTAAGAGTTTATGTTGGTTACCTAAGAAATCCCCTATTTCACTATTTTGTGTGTGGATGATGAGACACAACAGGTCGCAAATGTGCAAGAAGGGACAGAGCCAGAGGGCACAGCTCCCAGCCTGGGAAAAAGCTGCAGCATTGGCCCTATCAGGCAGCCCTGTGGGTTCCTTCACCTTAAAAGGCACCACCTAAATACAGAGGTAAAAATACTGTAAGGCAACATTAATGCAAGACTGCAGATGAGCTGCCAGGGAATAGCAAGACTACACTGGATGGGCAACTTACCTCTGCCCCCTTGTGCAAATGCACTTTGGTACAGCCCTTACCCATTGCAGGACACACAACCAACATCCTAATTCAAAATCTCCTCTCGCCTAAAAAAAGAGAAGGGCCAATGCTTTCAATCAGAGCCTTCTGAGCCACCTTCCTCGCCTGAGCACCTCTTGACAACTCAGGTTAGGAAATGCTGGCACACTTTGTGCCACGCGTGTACAATTTGCATTTGGGACAGGGCTACTAAAGGCTGTTTGGCCGAAACAAAGAGCCCTTCTCCCTCCAGATAAAAATCTTAGGCTGAGAAACGACCGATAGACTCAAGCAGGTGACACCTACCCACCTCCAAACGCACCACATGATACACTTGGAAAAAATCTGCGGGCACATTCATGGCAGGACACGTTTTTACAAGAATCTGAAGTTATCCCAAAGTAAACAACCAATAATCAGTGATGATTGGCCGCCCAAAATGCAGCTGCAATGTGCCAGAGATGTGCCACCTCTGCTCATGTACACGTTTGATCCTTCATCTGCACCCATCGCTCTCTGAATACTCTCAGTTTCAAAGAGAGGCAGGGCAGGATTGTAATGGTAGGGCCACGGCTCTGTTTTTACCACATTTACACTTCTTTTTTCTCTTCCTCCCTCATTACAGCCGATGAGTGAATGATGTTTTTCATGGGTTTGGCCCTGGATTTATACTCTTATTTCATTTTAAACAACCCACACCACCTCTCCATCCACACACAAGATGGTTTTTCCGGCTCTGAATAGAGCGAGTTGAACCAACCCAATCACTATTGCGACCCTGTTAATATTGCCTTAAAAAAAAAAAAAAAATAAAAAATAAAAACCTTTTCCATAGGAAAAACAACGATGTTCTGAAATTAACGCTGTTAATTGTCTGGCTCTTCTTCACACGACAGCAGCCCGCAGTCAATCGCACCGCATTTTCCAGAGGCAATAAAAGAATACGAGCAAGACAAGTGCAAACAGCATCGAAACGGGGGCTGCCAGGAAAGCAGCCGACACTCCGCTCCCAACAGAGACAAAACTTCTTTTGTCTTCTTCTGCCCACTTCAGATTTTTTTCGGAACTCCACCAACTCCTCAAGTCTACAGCAATAACCTACATCCATGAGGTCGTCTTATTTCATACGCCGCTGCCTACAACTTCAACGGAGTCTACATTATAGACCTGGCTGGGAACTCAGTCTGCAGGGCTCTGAGCCTATATGCACTGTTTTCTTTTTCATTCAGCTTCCAGCTGATCATTTTATAGTGCTTCTGCCTCCATAAAATATTTGCTTGGGAGCCAGTGCGAAGATGGAAAAAAAAGCAAAGCACTAATCAAGCCTTGGGTTTGTAGAGCAATGCTCCCTCCCCATCCCTTTGGTTTTATTTTTGGCAAATTATGGCCCTAACGAAGCACAAGTTTTAAGATCTTTTCATTGCATCAGGCGATTTAAAGCTCTTTCACCAATTCATGCAACTCCAGTACTCATTCACTCAACTCCAACACTCATCCGCACAACTCCGATCCTCTTGGGACGTGCAGCTGAAGCAATCTACATCCTAAAGCCACGCACCCATTCTGCTGGAACAATGCAACCCCTCCTTTGTGAGCGGTGGTTTCCCATTCAGACAGCACCCACCAAGGTATGAGGCAGGGAAAAAGGCAGCCTTCCCTGCTCTGACCCCACACTCGGGTTAAGGCACCTTCCCACTCCCAGGTCAATGCATTTGGTAACCTGTGTATTGAAAACCAACTGACTGCCGGAGCCCCAGTTCTTAAATGTTCTCACTATCAGGAGCTGTCATTTGTCTGTCACCAGGAAGGTTAATGGATGTGTTTGTTACATTTGCTGGTGGGAATACACGGCGCAGGGGCTGGGGGGGATTACAAGAGGGGAGAGGTATTTCTGATCCACGGAGGAATGCAGCTGCTCTCCTTTAAAATTAAACGGGATGCATGAGGAAAGTCCCATGCGAGCCCACCTGCGACCACAGCACCAAATCCACGCTGCACCCAGCAGCACCAAGAGACAGCAATGGAGCACGTGTGCACGGCAAGGCAGCAAGCAGGAGGGCTCGAGCTGCTCGGTCCTTACCTCTCGCTGAGTCCGAGAGCGCGACGATCCCTGCGAGCAGGAGCGCCAGCTGCAATCCCATGGTGAAAAGCGGATCCCTGGGAGCTGTACGGGCTGCCGTCCTCGGAGCTGCAGGAAAGGGAGCGGAGCGATTACGGGGGGAAATAAGCAAACAGCTCACAAGTTTGCAGAGTTTTAAGGGCTGTTGCAGAAGCGCAAGAGCAGGAAGAGTAAACGCAACAGCAGCGTGTTTGTAATTCATTCCTTGGCGCTCAGCAAGCAAAACTTTGCCCTCCGCTCTGCTTCAGCCTGATATAAATCAGGGACCCACTGAGGCCAGCACGCTGCTCTAAGTTTACAGTTAATGCATAATTCTCCGGTATCCCGCACAGAACCAGTCTGGAAGGCAAACAAAACGCGAGCAAAAGCGACCGTAAACCAAGATTTCAGGTTAACAATTTGCGGAGGAACTCGGATGAGAGAGAGGGGGAGCGCTGCCTCCACAGCCCAACAGACTCCGTGCCCCGGCCCCGCTCTGCCCCGGGAACACGCGCTCCTCCAGCACGGATCATCGCTTTCTGAGCATCGCTTTCCTACTTTCCAACCCCCCCACTCATTTCCTTGAGCACCAGAGGTGTGTCCCAAAGCCAAACCCCATGAAACCCACCACCTTCGGGCGATGCCCTCGCAGCGATACGCCGGGGCAGATCGGCTTGACGCTCGTTACTCCCCGCTCCCCTCCTCACACTCTCACTTTCTAAGCACTGTCTGTATTCCTCACCCTCGTAAAGCTCCCGCTGAGACTCCCCAGTGCCCCCGGGATGCACAACGCACCGCATCTAACCATCGGCTGCCCCATAGGGAGCTCGTAGGGGCGGGTTAAGAGGAGGGGTGGGGGGCAAGCGGGAAAGAGGGTTAGAAGCAGAAATTAGAAGCCGGGGGCGCACGGGGAATGATACCGCCAGGTGCGCCCGTAGCCCAGGTGGGGGTATCCCAACCCACCCCGCTCCATGGGGGGGTCCGCACTTACCTTGGCCGCTGCCGGCTCTCAGCAGCGAGCGCTGTCGCCCATCCCCGCAGCTCTCCGCCTCATGCCCTCCTGCCGCGGCCCCCGGCCGGGCTCTCCGTCGCCGCCCTCTACCTCATCGCACCCCCCCCGGGACCGGGGGCTGCTTTGGGTTGAGCCCTCTCGAGCGGACACGGCACCCCCGGATCGGTTTGCCACACCGGTGAGAGGGGTTAATGGGAGAGAAGCGGGGGACGGGTGGGGAGGAGGGGGGTTATAATTCTCACAGCTTCTCGGGGTGGGGTGAGTGTGTGTGTGTGTATGTGTGCGTGTGCGAGGAGGGACAGCGGGGACCTGCCGGAGCCCCGGGGGCTGCCGCCGCGGGATGCCCGGTGGTGCCGTCCCGAGCCGGAATCCCGTTTAAGGAGAGATGGGAGGAGGGGAAAGGGGTTGGGGAGTCGGGGCGAGAAGGAGGAAAAGGGGGAGGGGAAGGGGGGGGCGAAGAGAAACGGGCGATCGAGCAACTTTCCCTGCAGGGCTTTGTGGCGGCGGGGGCCGAGCCGAGGAGGGCGGCCCGGCACCGCCCAGCTCCAAACTTCGCTCCAATCCCCGGCAGCCCCCGCCCTCCCCGCCGCTCCCCTTAACCCTTAGCGGCGAGGCGGGCGCCCCGCGGTCCCCGAACCCCGTCCCGGAGCTTCCGAGTTTCCTCCCGGCTCCGCGCATCTCCGCGGCCCCACCGTGCGCAGCCGCCACGGGCATCCGCGGGTGGACGTCCCCATAGGGGAAGCAGGGACGTGGCGGGGGGACGTTGGGCCACGTGCCGCCCATAGGCTGCGTGTCCAGCTCAGCTCTCGGATACGGTTCGTCTCGGGAAGAGATCAAACGAGCTGGAAAATAGGCTGTTGGGATGTCTTTTCTTGAGATGAGCTGCTCCAATTCGGCTCCTAACATTTCGGGAAAAAAAAAACTCCTTTCTCCGAGAGTGGTGATGGATTGGCACTGGCTTCCCAGAGTGGGGAGGGGGGGGGAAGTTGTCACTCGCTGGAGCTATTCAAGTACCGTGGAGATGTGGCACTGAGGGACACAGCTCAGTGGGCAATACTGGTAGCTTCCTAAACCTATGTTGCCTAAACAGCTCCCCTTTTGTATCCGGAGAGAGAAACGTTTGTTGACATTATTTAGAATCATTTAAGTTGGAAGAGGTTCCTAAAGGCCATCTAGTCCAACTCTCCTGCAATAAACAGGGACGCCTACAGCTCCATCAGGTGCTCAGAGCCCCATCCAGCCTGACCTTGAATGTCCCCATGGATTGGGCACCCTCCTTCTGCCACATCTCTGGGCAACCTGTGCCAGTCCCTCACCACCGCCACTCTAAAAGCCTTATTCCTTATATCTAACTTACATCTCCCCTCTTTTAGTTTGAAACCACTTCCCTTTGTCCCATCACAGCAGACCCTGCTGAAGAGCCTGTGCCCTTCTTTCTTATAGGCCCCCTTTAGATACTGAAAGGCTGCTATCAGGTCTCTCAGATTTACCAGATCTCGTTTGCTGTTCTCCAGCACAAAGGCCTCTCCCAAGGCAAAGCTATCTCAGTGCCCAATGTGGTGTGCAGCCAGAGAATCCCTACAGCCAGGCAGGGAAACAGCCCAAACCCACCTTATCTGTTCTGTTAGGATTATGAAATCACACCCTCTGTTATTGTTGTTACTAAATGCCTTTACTCAGCGGTTCCAGACAGCATTAAATCTGGATATACAAAATCAATGTGAAAAACACTCAAGACTAAACATATAAACCCCCTGAGCCAGAAACAAACAAAGTGGCTGACAATATCATTTTTATTTATTTTACATATTTTTACCATCGTTTTTATTATTAAAGTTCATCATATGAGAAATCCCAGATGGACTGCTCCTCATGTCAGGCAATAACTTCAGCCTCATTGACTTCAAAGGCAGCGTTGACTGATTCAAACCTCCAGGACTTGACCTACGTGGTTGTGTTTGTGCCATGGGTCCTGATAAAGTTGCTTTAAGTTGCACAAGATGAGATCTACAACTAGAGGATAATCTATTGAACGATTCTTGGTAACATTTCCTGTCCATTTTACTGTGAAGGAGGCAAGGTTTTCTCCCAAGGACATCACCATTTATTATCTGGTCCTAAAATATTTACACAACATTCTGTTCCCATGCACACTGAAGCAGCTCAGAGGAAAAATAACTATGGATGGATCCACTCCTACGTCCTTATTTTCTTATTGAAAAGTTTCATGTGTTCCCACATCTCCTGGTCTCCCAGTGCATCCCAACCTGTCTAGTGCCTGATTTAGTGCGTGGCAACCCTGCCCAAGGCAGGGGGTTGGAAGTAGAAGATCTCTGAGGTCCCTTCCAACCCAAGCCATTCTATGGTTCTGTGATCCTACAATCAATAAAACAGCAGAATGCCTCCTGCAGCCTTTCCCATTGGGATGTTCTGAGAGATGGAGTATAGGACTGGTAGAACACAAGATTTTCAAAAGCATCCAGGTACCTGAAGATTCCCCTTAGACCTCCGTCTTTGGGCATCCAGAAACTTTTTAAGGATCTGACCACTGCAAATGCTGTAAAGGGACATTCTCTGTAAAGAGACAGGGAACAAAGCCCACAGTTTACAAACCCCAGGCTAAAATAACCAGGGAACCACCCCTACTGACTCCCAGATGTCTGTACATTTCTTACTTTCTTGTTCAGAGCTTTGGGAGTGCCCCAAAGACAGCCTGAAACCAGGCCACAAGCTTCATCCATCTTTTTCACTATACAGCTGTAGAGAAATAAATGTAAAACATTGATACAACAAAAATAATTAATATTCCTGAAACAGCTCCTACTTTATCAGAAACAAAATCTCATGCCATTTTCCCAACACTTCCACCTAAATAAGGAAACATGCCGAGCTCTGTTTTTCTGGGCTGGCTGTAATTTGCAGGATGATTGAGTAGGCTGAAATTCAACAGCCCCGCTTTGCTCCCGCACCCCACAGTCAGCTGTGGGAAAAATGGAGACAAACAGACAAACAGACCCAAATGCTAAGCAACCAAGGATGTTTCTCCACATGGCCCAAGGGGCAGCTAACAGTCCATCTGTATCCCACTTGTCCCCAAAGCCTTGTTGCTAGAACGTGGTTGTCCAGGTTTGTGATGGTCTAGTGAATATGCGTCCCCGTAATGACTGTCCTCCTGTCTCTGAAACTGTGGCTCTGTGTTTTTCCATCTTTCTTGCTTCTTTTCTCCCAGGAGCTGCTCACCTACATTGTCACAGATCCCCATTTTTTTCTCCACTTTCCATCTCAGCTATTTTGCCTTCTTTTTTTTTTTTTTTTTTCCCTTCCCCTACTGATAATATGGGAGACACATCTGCTGTGGGTTGTAATTCCTCACATGCTGTTCAGGGATTTCTTCAAACTGCAGGACAGGTCAATGAAATGGGCTGGCACATGGGCTGCTGTGTTTATTCAAGTAGCTTTGGGCTAGGGCCACCAAGGCTGCTTGGGCTGGCACTGATGTTTTGGTGAAGAATAACGTTTGGTGACACAGGTCCATGGCATGGAGAGTCCATGGAATGGGGCACAGCTAACAAACACAAGAAGGTGAGGAAAGGACACAGGCAGCATTAAGAGCATTCCCTTGACCTCCTGCCTCTAAACCTAACCCTTCTCTGGTTATCAGTGGCATGGAGAATGTCCCAGTTGAGCAACAAAGGAGCCCAGCACACAGCTTCCCATCTGCACACTGGGCAAGCCGAGAAACATGGTACCACCTTATACAGATATCTGTATAGTTATCTAACTATGTTATCTATCTAACTATGACTACAGATAATCTACGGACTTCCACAGCTCCGTAGATGCTTTTACCAGCAGGTTTTGGAGATCACCCCAAAGTTCTGGACCTTCTACTTGGCTGCTCGGACTCTTCAGACCCCAGGAACTGAGATGAGTTTTGTCATCGCCACTGTGCTAAGCCAACTTGGGTCTACAGATAAATTGTCATAGTTAGAGATGAAGTGTGTTTTATGAAGAAAGCAATGTTTTCTGAGAGTTGAATCATCATCTGCTCTATATGTGGTAACTAAGGTCTGGCAATAACTTAGATATATTCAGAGAAGAGGTACATGCAGAAGGAAAGATGGACTGGTATTACATGGTCATGAAAACTATATTTTTTTCGTATTAAAAAATGACACTTCTCCCCACATTTATGCTTATTCCCTTAGAATAAGCTTTGTTTTAAACAGTTGCAAGGAAATGAAATGGCCCATTATATGCAGAAGATTAAATTTGATATGGACGCCATGGTCTGGCATAGGAGAAAAAGTGATGAAATGCTGTTCAGAGTCCTGTCAACCAAATGTGATGCTTGGAGGTTACATTGCTCTCCACTTCCTCAGGGGCTGTAGTTTCAGGGGAACAACAAAACATATTCTCCTCCAGCAAGATTTTCTTACTTTTCCCCTAATGCCCACAGCAAACCATTTCCACACACCCAGAAGGTGTTCTGTATGAAGAATATGGTATAAAAACCCCATGGGAGATCAGGTTGCCTTTTTTTCTGGAAGAGCTATGATCCTTCTGCTTTCTTTGAATGGATCTCATTCTTCTTTCTCATATCCCTTTGTATCACTGTGAGCAATTTATTTTATGCTCTATACTTTTTTCCCTCTTAAACATTTGCAGGCAGCTTCCTTTCTCAGTGCTTGGTCTAGCTACAAGTAGTTAAAGTTTCCAAATGTTCTCCATAAACACATCCTTCCTCAGGCCCCTTATCCTTTATATCACTCAGCATGGGTTTGCTTGGAGTTGGCCTGACACTGATATATGAAGGATTTGATTTTGCCTTCCTTTTACATCTGGCTATTACAACAATAATCCCCTTGGAGCCATTGGAATCACTATAAGTGAGAAAAAAACTGATCAAGCCAAGAGAATCATCTGTGAGCAACTGTATCTTCCAGGTACGTGAGCTGAAGACATTGAACAGGCATCCCTGAGCCTAAATCATAAAATCATAGAATCATTAAGGCTGGAAAAGACCTCCAAGATCATCTGGTCTAACCCCAACCCATCCCCACCATGCCCTCTAACCACGTTTCTCAGTGCCACATCTCCAAGTTTCTTGAACACCTCCAAGGGACAGTGACTCCACTGCTTCCATGGGCAGCCTGTGCCAATAAATATCTCATCTAGGGATGTGACTGGGGTTTTGGAGGCCTAAATCTCCTCTCAGTGCTCCTTCACACCATCCTCCTGTGCAAGGAGGTTTGATTATAACCGCTGATGCTGGGTTTGTGTCCTCCAGATGTAGCAAATGTGAAGGGAAAGATGCAAAAAATAAACAGAAATAAGCAAAAATTTTAAAAGCCCAAGATGGACAGAGTGAAAAACAAAAATGTCAAGACTTAATTGTTGCACAGATGTGAGGAATGTTAAGGGAAACTGTTTGGGGATTTATGTTCAAAAAAATAAGAC